TAATTTGAAACTAAGCCAGTGGTGCAGTAATATATTTATACAACTAAAATTATTAAAATTTTGATTTTATTCATCTCTTGCTTTTAATGACAAGTTCCTTAAGAATGAAATCCACTTATGAAGCACTTAATAGTTTTTTACTCTAGCTTTCCTATTGTAATATCTTCTATGATTTTCCCCATCATCTTTCCACTGAAATCCTCTAGGGGACACTGGAAATGTTGATGTACAATAAGAATAGACCAGTGTAAAATTTCAGTTACACTTCTTCACCGACAATGTGTTATACACTGTAAATGTCTAAATATTTAGTATCTTAAATCTTTAACTCTTTGTGCCTATACGTATATATAACACAAGTGTATATGTAAATATTACATATAACAAAATTATAGTCAAACATATAATCTACGATTTCAGTGTACATTAAAACAATAATGACTCTTAAAGACACAATGTTCCATTAACTTATGTATATTTTTATTTTCAATTTTAGGAAACAGTTTAAGTTGATATGATTATTAACCTATGTGATAAATTGTACTATATTTTGTCTTTATGATTGTGGAATGATTGGTGCTGTGTTATTTGGATTCTGACAGTTCTACCTTCCAGAGTAATGTACCTTTGTTATCTGTGTCTTTGTGGGACCTCACCTATCACAAACCAGTTCTGATCTTAATACTCAGATACAAAAACTTGTTTTAAGACAGAAAGTTCAGATTGAAATGCAATTTTCAACCTAATAATCATGTATATTCTTCTAAAAGCAACCAAAAAACAAACTGTATGAGGGCAGCAGGTGGTTGTCTGTGAATCTTCACAGCTGAGTACCATCGCGTGACTCCTGCTGAAAGCAAAAACAACAACAAAAATCTATACTAAAAAGTAAACATGATGGAAAATACTGTCTAATAATAAAGAATGTTTATTTTGTTAAACAAGTAAATAAAAGTTTACATTTACATTTTATTTTAATGTAATACACACATGAGTTCTCTAGAGAAAAATTAAAATATCAATAAAACAGTTCAAAACAGTCTAGAAGGAGAGTAACAATAATTAATGTATTGAATATTGTTATCTTCATACTAGTTTTTAGAAGTACACGCTATAGACAGGAAATATTGTCCCAACAATATTAGAACAAACCTTTCTTTTCAATGAATTAAGAGAAACTAACTGTATAACTATCTTATCTTTGGTATATAGATATTTTTTCTTTTTCCTTTCTTCTTGTCACAATTTCTCTTTTCTTTTGAATTTTCTTTCCTATTCCCAATATCTATTGTACATTTTACATCTTACTTACTCATAAAGCTTCTTACAGTAATTAGGCAATAGGATATTTGCACACCTGGGTCCGATTTCAGTTATGAGTGTTGTCTTATCTTGTATCTACTTACCTATAAAAGTCTCAAGTTTGTCCTTCTTTGTGGCTGAGTAGTATTCCACTGTTAAAAGACACATCTTTTTCTTTTTTTTTTTTTTTTTTTTTTTTTTTTGGTGTAGAACAGAGTACAAGTTTATCAACAATGGTTATCAACGTTGTCCCTTGTTTCCTTAAAAAGAATTGTCTATCTTATTAGATATTATAAAGTTGGACAAAACAGTAGAGAACAAGACCAATAAAACTTAGGCGTTGTAAACATTACAGGACTTCCAAAGAAGACAATAGTCAAACCAGAATGGGTATCTTAGTGAATCTTATTGTCTTCAAAGTAGTTGCCTATGTCTTCAAACTTGATACTATCATATAGAATGGAACAGAGTCTAATCAGTCAAAACAAGATCGTGGGAGTACTACAGGACTTCAAAACAAGTTAATAGGAAATCGAAAAGAGTTACTATTTATATATCCTAATTTTTTTGAATTTTTTCTTTAATTAAGACAAACATAAGAAATGACTAAATAATTTTTTTGAAACAATAAGGGGGAGATTGAGATAAAACAGGACATAACAATATAACAATAGAGGTCACAGCATGACTGTTTCAATAACCTAGTACTTCACCACCTTATAACCTGACTTAATAGTAGTTACCATAGTGTCTTTTTCCTTGAAATATTTGGGTAAAACTTCATATACTCTAGCTTCAAATATTTTCATATCAAGAAGCCCAGAATAAAGCCTTTCTAATTAATGAGTGAAAACTTTATAAGGCTTCAAGGCCACCTAATGGGGAATCATGATTACCACATATTTTTATATATTTGAATCATTACTTACATTAGGGAAACTATTCTGTATTCACACATGCGAGATTGATTTATTTCACTTATGAGTATGGTCTCAAGCTGTGCCCATTTATTGATAAATATCTCAATGTGATCCTTCTTTATAACTGAATAATACTCCATTGTATAGAAATACCACAACTTTTTTATCCATTCCTCAGTTGATGGGCACTTGGGTTGTTTCCAAGATCTGGCGATTACAAATTGTGCTGCTATAAACATAGGTGCACATATATCACTGTGGTATGATGCTTTCAGTTCTTCTGGGAATATGCCTAGAAGTGGAATAGCTGGAATAAATGGGATTTCCAGTCCCAACTTTTTGAGAAATCTCCAGACAGATCTCCACAAAGGCTGTACCAGTCTACACTCCCACCAGCAGTGCAGGAGAGTTCCTTTTTCCCCACAGCCTCTCCAGCATTTGTTGTCGGTTTTCTTGATCCTGGCCATTCTTTCAGGAGTGAGATGGTATCTCAGTGTGGTTTTAATTTGCATTTCTCTAATGACCAATGATGATGAGCATTTTTTCATGTATTTATTTGCCATTTGCATTTCTTCATCTGAGAATTGCATATTCATCTCAGATGCCCATTTTTGGATTGGATCTTTGAATTTCGGAGGTCTGAGTTTCTTTAATTCTTTATATGTTTTAGACAAGAGGCCCTTGTCTGAGAGAGAGTTCACTAAAATCTTTTCCCAGTTTGTGGGTTTTCTTTTCACTATGCTGGAGATTTCTTTTGACATGCAGAAACTTTTTAATAAGAAGTGGTCCCAGTTATTGATTCTGGGAAGTATTTCCCGTGCGGTTTGAGTCCTGTTCATGAATTCTTTACCTACTCCTATGTCTCCAAGGTTTCTACCTATTTTGTCTTCCAATAGATTTAGTGTTTCTGTTTTAATATTCAGATCTTTGACCCATTTACATTTTAATTTAGTACATGGTGATAGACATGGGTCTAGCTTTAGTTTTCGGCAAATGGAGAGTCAGTTTTTCCAGCACCATTTATTAAAGAGACTGTCGTTCTTCCAGTGAACCTGCTTGGCTCCTTTATCAAAAATAAGGTGGTTGAGTGTGTTCGTAGTTGTGGTTGTATCTTCTAATCTATTCCACTGATCTTCAGCTCTGTTTTGATTCCAATACCATGTTGATTTTACTACTGTTGCTTTGTAGTATAACTTCAAGTCAGGGATTGTGATGCCTCCTGCTTTGTCTTTGCTGCTTAGAATTGCCTTTGCGATTCTAGGTCTCTTCTGGTTCCAGATGAAATTTAGGAGTGATTTCTCTAGATCTATAAGGTAGACACATCTTTTTCTTTACCCATTCCTCAGCTTAAGGGCATTTAGATAGTTTCCAAGATTTAGCTATTGCAAATTGTGCTGCTGTAAACATGGGTGCACATATATTGTTGTGGCATGATGTTTTTAATTCTTCTGGGAAGAAACTTAGAAGGTGAATGGCTTGGTCAAATGGGACTACTAATCCTAATTTTTTAAGGATTCTCCACACTGATTTCCACAGTGGTTGCACCAGTCTACATTCCCACTAGCAGTGGAGAAGTGTTCCTTTTTCCCCACAGCTCCTCCAGCATTTGTTATTGGTTGATTTCCTGATGACAGCCTTTGTTTTGGAGTGAGATGGAATCTCATAGTTTTAATTTTCATCTCTTGAATGACAAGTCTTGTTGAACATTGTTTAATGTATATATTTACCATTTCTGTTTCTTCATCTGAGAAGTGTGTGTTCATCTGATTTGCCCTGATTTTTGAATTGGGTGTTTGTCTTGGTTATTTTTCTCTCTGGAACAAAATATCTGATACCCAAAACTAAGGAAGGAAAGGTTTATTTAGCTCAATGTTTGTGGCGGTTTTAGTCCATAATCAGCTGGCTCCAAGGCAGGGTTGTACAGCATATGGCAACACTTGAAGGCAGCAGCCAGCAAAAGCAGCAAGAACAAAAAGTGCGCAAGGAAGCCACTCTTTTTCCTCTTTTATATTACAAACAGGCCACTCCCGCTGCAGGGCAGATGTAGCACTCACACCATCTCTATGCCCTCCTCTTGCATAGGCTCAGGATAGTTACAAAGTAAGGACTCGGGCTCCCTGATGAGTCTCTTAATTAAATTTCTAGACTTCTCAAGTTGGCACAATGTATCCACTATAACAGTCTTTGAATTTGGGAGGGTCATGATTTTTTTCGTTCTTTATATGATCTAGATATAAGTAAGTCCTTTGTCTGAAGGTCAACTGTCTATAATTTCTTCCTACTGTGAGCATTGTCTTTTTACTTTGTTGGTGACATTTTCACCAATAGAAAGAAGCCAGTAAAAAAGATAGGCAGTTAAACAAAGGACAAAGATAAAGAAACAACAACAAGAAAAGATAAGCCAACACGTGTGAGTTATATAACCATCTTGTAAATGGTCTTAACTCATCAATCAAAAGAAGCAGACTAGCAAAATGGATCAAGAAACAAACCAACAATATTCTGCATTCAAGAAATGCATTTAACCCAAAAAAGAATTCGTAAACTTAAAGTCAAAGGATGGAAAACAATCCTCCATGTCACAGGAACTCAGGAAAAAAAGCAGGAGTAGCTATTCTATTTGCAGACAATGTAAATTTTTAGCCAAAACTGATCAAAAGCAACAAGGAAGGTCTCTACGTACTTGTTAAGGGAAAACTTCAAGAAGAAGTGATCAGTATTGATGACACTAGAAAACGAAGCAAGTCTGGTTGACACTGTGATTTCTGTTTTTATCAGTGGCAAGCATTCAGAAGCTTCCTGCAGCCTCTGTTCTCACTGACATCAACTTCCCGATGAAAGGACGGAAAGGAATGGTGGACTGGGCACGGAATTCAGAAGATAGGGTAGTTATTCCAAAAAGTATCTTCACTCCTGTGTCATCAAAAGGTAAGTATGTGAAATAGTGTGAACTTTGTTATTTGAAAGAGCAGAAACATCTCTGATGAGGTGAGTTGATGACACATTAGGCCTACATCTTCATACATTATACAATATTGAAGCAATTTGCAATCATGAGTCTAAATCGATTTTGTAAATACAGAAAATTTACATATGCCTACCACAACTCTGGATTTACTGAAAGACAGGATCTATTAAAGTGGGAAGGAAAAATGACAATTTCAAGTTCAACAGCATGAACTTGATATGGTCAAGTTTCAATACTGATATTTTCACCTCAGAGTACAATGTGGGCTAATAGTTTAACTGCAAAGGTTGAATAGATTTCAAGGCAAAGGTAACTTTAATTTAAAATTTAAAGATACTATTTTACTGTTTAGAAACACATTTTAAAATTTCAATTTTAAGATCATCTTAAGTAGCTTTTAATATTAATGGCTATTTTCAAAAGCAACACCATGGTTTTAGTTTTCAGGGTGAGAATTTTGGTCTTAACACTTAATGTTGTGTAAGAAAATTGGGTCTTCTATATTTGGGAATTTAAACTCTTTAAAAGCATCTGGAGCAGACTGTTGTACATGCTGATAGAAAGGTTAATGCTTGATATAAAATCACAAAACAGTATATATGTTCTGTAGCTGACATTCATGTGCAGGCTGCCAATTAAATGGCCCATGCATGGGTGAGAGTGCTTTTTAACTGCCTAGCTTTATCTTGGCCTCAACAGGCAGAGGAATCCTCTTGTGGTTAGCAGATTAAAGTTTTGTATGATACTATTTTTCTTGCAGTTTTGCTAATATTTTCAATTGTATTCTTTCCAGAATTAGATGAATCATCTGTATTTGTTCTTGGAGCAGTCCTATACAAAAATTTAGATCTCATTTTGCCCACATTGAGGTAAGCTACAAAGTAATAAGCTACTGTAATCTTTGCACATTATTCTAAAATGTGATTATAGTTCATTCCATGAAATAGGCAAACAAGCTTTCGTAGTACAGAGGGCATTTTCTCAAATGAAATAGAAAATACCAATTTAATGAACAGGTTATTAGCATATTATGTATTGCAAAACAGCTGCAGAGTAGAATTTTGGTGTCTGATTATAGCCCTACAATTCTTTCGAAATTAATCATGAATTGTGTAAAGATTTAAAAAGAAAAGAAAGGAAAAAAACCCTCAAATCTGTGTAATAGACTAGATCGTCGCAAAATTAATCTCTTTCCTTTTTATTTCTACTTAATGATATTGTTCATCAACACTACATGAAATTAAAGTGTCATGATGCCTTGCGAAACATGGTTTTGTTCTTCATTTTCACAAAATCTCCATTTACTTTAAAATAAGTTTTCAATTACCACTAAATTAAGAGAAAATGCTTTTCAATTAAAGGATTAATTTTGGAAGAAATTCATTGGTTTCCTTCCTGTTAGGCATCTTAAAAAAGAATTCCCATCAGCAGTGCTACCATTATTCAGTTTTTTGTTTTGTGTGACCTACTTTGCAGTCTCTCACATTCACGTGTGTTTGAATATTGATCTCCCTACATGTGATGAACAGGTTATTAGCATATTATTTATATTATTATTATATATTAGCATATTAAAGCATAATAATTCCAGAGTAGACCTAAATCAAGTGACCTGTGTTTTGATTTGAGTTCAACATGACAGGAGTTTTGGGCTAGAGACGTAGCTCAGGGGCACAACGCCTGCCTGCAGGTGTGAGGCCCGGACTGAGTTTGATTCCCAGGTGTTAATTCCACACCACCTCAATTGGGAAAATTCAGACAAAATTGTATTTCAATTAAGCACACACAAAATTGCTCTGAGAAATTTCCTCAATCCCTCATAAATACATCTTTAAAAGTTTTTAGGGAAGATGGGCTGTGAAGCATCTCAATGATGTGTACAAAGGCACAAGAAATAGTCTAATAAATAAAAACAGTTAAAGTTCATTCCAGCACAAAAGGAGGTAACAGTGACTATCAGAATTCTTGGAGAGAATTTCTTCACTGTGCACTGGATTACAAATGTAAGTGGTAAATCATCCACATTGCTCTCCATGCACCCCAAAATCTCCTTTGACCATAGATGTTACCAGAGCACGTTTTCCTTAACTCCTTGCTCCCCTGAATTGCATTTGGACTTCGTGAGAGATTTCAGTGCGGTTGTTTTCAGTAACAATATTTTCAAAACTAGAACGTTAATTCTCAGCTTTTCCACTAGTTCACTAAAACACATTGGTATGTGTAGTCCTTCCCAACAAAATGTATTTGGGCTTTCACTACCACTTTGCCTCTAAAATTTCAAAGTGAGAGACCTGTTAAAGTTAAAAGTGCCCAGAGAAGCAAATTCAGACGCTTATTTCCAGAGGGAGTTCATTTGCGTAAAGATTATCTTTTAATAATTCCAGAGTAGACCTAAATCAAGTGACCTGTGTTTTGATTTGAGTTCAACGTGACAGGAGTTTTGGGCTAGAGATGTAGCTCAGGGGCACAACGCCTGCCTGCAGGTGTGAGGCCCTGACTGAGGTTGATTCCCAGGACAGAAAACTAAGTTTTATAAACTTGTCCAGTTATTGTTCAGTTCAGTTCAGCTGCCTCAGTTTAACTATTAAATAAAAGCACATTTATGTGTAAGATGCACACTGTTTGGTCCTGAGGGCTACAGTAAATGCAACTGAAATACTCAGGGGAAAGTGCTTTAAATTATTTGTCTCCCTCCTGGACGCTCGTCAAAGTGACTGATTTTTTCCTGTGCATCACGTTATCCCAAGATTCCATTAAGAAGATTGGGAATTTGCCTAGTGACATCAGCGTTTTTCTAAAAAGAAAATATGAGCATCTGGTTAGTGGTTCAGCTTCTTTTTTAATCATGGTAAAGGTCATCGTCACATACAGTGTATGAGTAGATTGATGGATCCATTATGGGTGATTTAATGAGTATAGCAGAAAATCATCTGGAAGAGTGACTCTCCTGTTCCTACTTTTGACACACATGGATTCAGATAGGCTCTTGGGTGAGTCACGTAACTTTTTATACATGAAATTTAGTAATTAAAGTTCCTTTCCAATTTCAAAAATTGTGTCTTGGATTGGGGAAGGTAGATCCAAGTAAACTGCCTGCCTAACAGGTGCAAGTCTGTGGTTTGATCCCTAGCACCACCACCAAAAAATAAAGCAAAGAACTTTTTGTACCTCGAGAGGTTCTGCATATTCTTTAGAGTGAAGTTGTCGCTAATCTCTACATAAGCATTAGAAACAAGGCGATGAGTCCATAGTTGCGAATAGGTAAGGAAGAATAAATTTTAGTATTCTCTTACACTGTTGGTTGACTAGACTTGAAAATATAGATAACAATAAAGTGTTTTGTATTTCACAAAAACATTTTTAATGTTCTTACCATAAAAAAATGATGTATATGGAGTTATGTTAATTACCATGATTTCAATGTTATAAAATTTCTATGTTATCAAAACTTCACATTGTATCCCAAAGTATGTTTACTTTGTATAAAGTAAAAATGCAAAATAATTATAAATATGCCTGTTCATATCTAAATGTATACCTAAAAGACTGTTGGAAAAATTATATTCTATTTAAATCATTGACCAGAAATAATGACAGTTGACAATTTAGGATGAAATATTTAAGTACTCTTTAAAAAGATGAAACCCTAGTATTTACTTCTGTTACTGTTTTTTCATACAGTAAAATAATATAACTGCTAATCATTCTCAGGTCTGTTCTTTTACTTTTCAAAAGAAGTCCCAGTAGGTAACTGTACCTGATCTGCTAAATAAGGTTAAGTCTTTTAATAGACAAGGGCAATTCTTCCAGAGGCACTCAGTAAACATCTGCTATGTAGCAAACTTGCCCAATATCAATTCTTTTAAATCCCTCCCACTGTTCTAGAAAACCTCTTAATAAATAATAAAGGTTCAAAGAGTCTTACTGGAATGATTGTCCTATATGCCATTTTTTTAAAATACCAAGCTATATAGAACATTACTGTTTTTACTATGAAAATACTTCAGAAACAGAGAAATAAAACACATACATCTTATTGTTTTACCATACAGTTATTTGAATTGAACCCAACAAGAAAGGAAAAATCTTACTTAACATGAAAAAATTCACAAATTTTTTAGTAATTATTCTTTATAAATTTCTATGAAATTTTTTCCTCAGTGAACATTTTACTAATTATCTGTTGAAATACTTGGAGCCTAGTTTCTCCATACACAGAATAATGTTAGATTTTCTATTAGGTTCTCAGAAATTTCATATTTTGGCATAAGCATTCTCAAAATGAATCAGTGATACTCTGTACAATATCTCTTGTATGGACTGTAGCATAGGAGTTAATGTAGTGTTTTAAATAAATACAATTCAGAAAATTTCCGTAACACAAAGGTGTAAATACTTTGACATGTTCATGCTTGTATTTAGGTATTCCTCTTCTCTTATTCTAAGGTACATTCAGGTATTCAAGCTGTAATTTTTATTTTACTGGTCGGCTATCTTCCCTTTTAAAGTGAAGTCAATTCAAATTGTTCTTCCCACTGAAGAAATGTGCTGACGTCTAAACAAAATATGTCATTCCAAATACCCATCTTTTATTCTTCTTCAGAATGATTTCTTACAGTTAAAAATATAGAATCATAGACTACTGAATGCAAATCCCTTTAAAATAGAAATGCCATTTAGAATCTTGCTTTGTAATGAGACATCTGAGGTTATTCATACTGCTGAAGTGTCTTGCCCAGCATTCTGTCTCTAGCAGGTAACTGGCTTCTATTCCAACTCAAGTCTTCTGCATGCCGTAACAGGACTCCTCATTTGATCTCACTTCATCTATGATGCTAACAGTGATTCATTTAAGAGATACTAACCGTGACCATCTGTGATAACATGTGAATGTAAATGTATCTCCTGCACAAAACCTTGTAAGGTCCCAAAAGAGGTATCAACACGTGGGAAGTCTTGGGGAGCCCTTGACTTGGCCTGATGGCCTCCTCAGTCTGGGATGTCAGTGCCCTGGGCTGAGTAGGTCACTCCTGCCACCCTCTGATACTTCTGAGAGATGGGGCTGGGCTTTCAGGCGGAAGGTCCTGAACAAAGGCAGAATGCCAAAACACAAACACCGTCCCATCTAGGACTTTATGGGACAGCTCAGGAACTGCTCTGTGCATTTCAACTTGGTTTTATATCATTTTAGAAACCAACTTGGCCATCTCCAGAAACATAAAAATAGATTGTCATTGATCTAACCATCCTGCCTCTAAGAATTTATCTTAAGAAAATTATTATCTAAGAAAAAGATGAGTACCTCCAGGCATACACTAAAGGCAGGAATTCAAGAGATATGTTGTAAACAGCCTGTTCTCTGATTCATTTAGCAAATTCAGGTTCCAGTTTTATAAGAAAACTACAATACTTATGAGCTTCTGAGCAGTGTGTAATTTTCATGTTAGACATGTGGAAAATGCTGTCTTGTTTCATAAAAAAAACACAATGCATTTTAATGTGGCTATTAACATTTGAAATAATATAAAGAATGTAAAAAAAAAAAATATATATATATATATATATATATATATATATATATATAGAGAGAGAGAGAGAGAGAGAGAGAGAGATAGTCAGATAGGTTAAACATCTCTATAGATTAAAATGCCAGGAAAAATGTCAGTGACTGAAGAACTACAGTGGTCTTGTAAGCCAATGGTAATTTAGAAAATTACCTTTAAAAATAAACAAATTTCAATACAAAAATCGCATGAATTCCCATCAAATACATTAGCATAGTTAATAAAGATAAATGATACTGAAATGCTTAGACACTTAGGAACCTGATAGATAAATTAAACATAAATGAGAAAAGAAAATGAACTAA